TGTGTTGTGTTGTGTTGTGTTGTGTTGTCGGGAAAGGATTGCTTGGGATGTGATAGGATTTTTTGGTTGTTGCATGTACGTGTCGTTTCCGTGCTTTCGGTATTGTAGCTGGGCGTAGCGTAGCTCGGATTTGGGTATGTATGCAGATGTATGGAAAATAGTTGAATTTACGGATGGGATCTCAGTATTTAATGTCCTCGATCGGAATGAAGTGCCAATAGGATGAGATTTCGACTTGGCCCGAATCGTTGCGAGGGTTTTCAATCGTTCTATCTATGTATCTATATCTATCTATGTATCTATCTGTCGCTGAGTTGGTGTGTTGGTGCGTCTGTTTCTATTGTTGATGTTGCTGAGAATGCGAATGCTTTATGCCGCCCTCGTTCGAAGGATCGATCCAAGCCAGTACGGTAGATGGTGCAACGAATGTTAGGATGCGGAAGGTGTTGTGAAGGATGGGATATCATTTGCAACTGCTCGCATCAGTTACCGTACTCTGCGGTTCAGCTCCCTTCCTCGCCATCAATCGAAATCAAAAACGTTCAAGGTACGACGTACCAGTAGAAAGAGAGAGATCTCCAGCGAATCGGCTAGTCATCGAAGAAAACAGTGTAYGGTACGTACGGATAATACTAATGATATATAAGTACTATTCATAAGGATTCTAGATACCAGGGAATTACTTAAAGACTATGATGTGATGTGATGTGATACGTACGTACGTACGTACGTACGTTGCAGGACGGCGTACGTTACGGTTACGAGTGGGATGTGACAGAGGATTGTGGACCAATCTGACAACAAGTAACCGATTTCCATGCCGATACCGGTATCTTGACAAACTCAACAAGGATTTTCGCGGGTTTCTGTTTCCTTCCACCATCTACCGGCAATAATACGAGTACGAGCACGAACTGTACGGTACCCATTGTCAACGATTCGATTCCAGACACCAACGAATCATTCGAAGAACAATGGCAGCACCAACGCCAAGCAATACTAGCGCTCGCTGCCGCCGATTGATCCTGGCGGTTCTGCTGCTCTCGACACCATCGGCCGTCGAAGGATTTCACCACCAGAGACACCATGGATCGAGGCGTGGACTGCCAGCATCGGTACAAGCCGGGCCGTGCCTCGGTTCGAACCACCACCGGCGACCCCATCCGCTCCGCCGATCGCCGGCAGAGTTGCTACCGGGACACCATCGAATCCGCCGCGGCCCGTTTGGCGTCCCCGAACGGCCTCTCGCTTGCCGCTCGGGCGGCACCGCGCTGGGGATGGTAGGGGTGCCCGCGTCGCTGGCCGCGGCCGCCACGGCATTGTCGTCGCCCGCGGTCCAGAAGATCCTCGAGCTSGCGTCCATYGCCGGGATCGGCTACGCGCTCCGGTCGAGGCTGGACCCCAAGGGCATTACGGGCCTCCTCCTCAATGCCCTGGTGCCGTCCATCATCGTGTCGTCCCTCTCGGGGCTGTCCGTCTCGGCCGAGAGCCTCGGCCGCGTGGTGGCCTCGGGGGTAGCCCTGGCGGTCGCACAGCTGGTCGGATCGGAGCTGGCGTCGCGGTTCGTGATCCCCCCGAAGAGGGGYGGGGACGAGTTCGAGGCCGACATTCTACGGCGAACGGCGGCGGTGCAGCTCAGCTCGATGGCGCCGGGCCTGTCGGTCCTCTCCTTCACGAAGGAATTTGCAGGCCTAACGCTGGCGGGCCTGTCCACCCTGGCCGACGTCCCGTCCAAGGTGTACACCCTTGTTCTGCTGCCCTACTATCTTAGGTTTCGCGGAATCGTTGCCGACAGAGAAGTAGAGGAAGGAGAGACCGAGGCCGAGGCATCGCTCGCGACCGAAAGATCCTCCTTCCTGCAAACGATCAAGACCTCCGCAAGCGACCCCTTCAACCTCTCCATTTCCTGTGGATTGATCCTCGCCGCCCTCGGACGGCCCGTGCACACGCTGGGATTCGTGGGAAACGCCATCGGGAGCCTGGCCAAGAGCCAAACGGCCGTCCTCTTTCTTCTGATTGGCCTGAAGCTCAAGTTCAGCGGCGACCGACCCAAGCTCTGCCTGCGGCTCCTTCTCGCGCGACACGGATTCATGAGCCTCTTTGCCTCGGTGTACCTGGCCACCTGCATGCCGCTCTCCAGGGGCGTCTCGGACGCCACGCGCCTGGCCGCCGTCCTGAGCTCCCACGCGGCGTCCTCGATCATCGCGTACGGGCAGATGAGCAAGGCCGTCTCGAGCGAGGAGAACCGCCAGAACRRGSCCGATCGGGTGCAGGGGTACGACGTCGACCTGGCGTTCGACATCGTCGCCCTGTCGTACCAGATGACCATGGTCCTGAACACCCTGGCGTGCCTCGCCGGGCGGTCCTACGTCAACAACCTGCCGGTAGTCGGGGCAACCATGCTCGGGCTGTCGGCCGCGATCGGGAAGATCGGTGGAACCAAGTAAATGCTAACTCAAAATAAAGGCTATCTCTGCTTCTTCTTCATTGTGTTCCTCCTCCTAGTTCTACTACCAGTACTGGTAGTGTCCTCCCGGGTGGAGTCACCATGCTACTGCTGACTATGTTTGCAAGGCTGGTGGAGATTAAGGTGGCAGTACTTTATGCCAATACCTCTCCCCAAATGCATTTAGGACCAAGAATATTCCAAGCTGCTCTAAGGTTTTCTTGCTTGCACTCAAAGAAGAGGAACTCTCTCCTCTTGTTGGTACTACTAATTCCTACCTGAAAGTAAGACGATCCATGTGGCGCAGTTGATGCTAGTAGTACAAGCTACTTCCATCCTTCTTGTTGTCCCCAGGAGCAGTCACAAGAAGGCACACTTTTGTCGATGTACTATGTTCTTTCTGGTCTTCATTTTGCTGGAGCTGTATTCTTGTGWGCACTGCTCTTCTAGTCCGTCCTTTGCCCCTATTGGAACCGTCTGTCCCTCTTCCTTGTTCACTCCGACCTAGCCACCCCGCCCCGACGCGTCACGAAAACTTTGACGTTACTGTAACGAATTCTCTTGTTACCGACTTGTACGATACGCACGTACAGTACCTCATAGAATAGCCGTTGCGTCTTGTCCCCCCATCCCTTAGCGTAGCGGAGGTACGAGTTCGTACTAGGACTWACAGTACAACTTTACATGGTGTGGCACTCCGAGTTTTTTTGAAGTTCCATTCATGATTTATGACACTTCGAGTACAGAAGCACTAGTACGAACGTACGTACATACCTTCGTGATTCGTGACATCACAAGAAACAAGAACGGATTGCTAGAAAATCAATCACGTTTCACATGGCATCATGGGATAACATCACATCATGCTGCATCACAGTGCAACACATCAAACATCAATCAAAGATCGATGATGCCCATGTCAAGCCTCCAATCTTCGCACATACAGAATAAGTCATAATGATATTAATTTTTGACCCCGCGTCATTTTGCGTTCTCATTGGAATCAAGCACTTCCCCAACAGTAAACAAAATCACGACTTATCCAGAACCAGATAGTCACAAATCGACTCAGTCATAATCGACAATCACTGACAGAAAAACTCAACTCGATACGAAACGACACAACGCAACGCAACACAACGGCAACCGCAACTGCAGCTGCAACTACGACATTTGAAACCTATACGCATAGACATGCTGCGAAGAGTACGCGGGTTGCGCAGATGGTCAGGCTGGCATCCGCTGCGACAAGCGTCGTCGTGCATGAGCACGGCAGCCGCTCCTCTTGTGGGAGAAGAAGACATCGACGAATACGAATGGAACTTTAGGCAAAGCACCAACAGATACGATGACAGTGCCCGCATTCGTGACTTTCAAATCACAAAGCAACACCCGCTGTATCCCAAGCTGTTCGCACCCCTGGATCTCGGGCCCGAGTTGGGAATTCTTCCCAATCGAGTCTTGATGGGATCTATGCACACGGGCCTGGAAGGCCACTCTATGCCCTCCTGGATCGAAGGCATGCTGAATTATCTAGATCCATCCGATAACGGCGGTGACCATGGCGGAGTGGACCACTCGTCGCTCGACCGCATGGCCACCTATTTTCAGCGCCGGGCAATCGGTGGGGTGGGATTGATGGTCACCGGGGGGATCTCCCCCAACACACAGGGATGGGTCGGCCCATTTTCGGCCCAGCTGACAAATGACACAGAAATGGAGAAGCACAGAGTTGTCACGGAGGCAGTACACTCGGTCGAYGTTCCAATATATGGGGCCTCGAACCCCGACAACGMCRCGGTGACACCAAAGATTCTGATGCAGCTCCTGCACACCGGCCGGTACGCCTATCATCCATTTGCTGTGAGTGCCACCACGGGAAAGTCGCCCATCAGCCCCTTTACTGCACGGGCTCTGTCCACCAACGGAGTGAAGAAGACTATCGACGAATTCGTGTACAGCGCAATGCTGGCCAGGGAGGCCGGCTACGACGGAATCGAAATCATGGGCTCGGAGGGCTATCTCATCAGCCAGTTCCTCAGTCCGAAGACCAACTCCACACGGACCGACCAATACGGAGGAAGATCCTTCGAGAATCGATCAAGGTTTCCCCTCGAACTGGTCCGGGAGGTTCGAAAGCACCTTGGAACCGATTTCATTGTGGTCTTTCGGCTTTCCCTCTGGGAACTGGTCGAGGGGGGCATGTCCTGGGAAGAAACTGTCATGCTGGCCAACGAGCTAAGACAGGCCGGTGTGACACTCCTCAACACCGGAATAGGCTGGCACGAATCGAGGGTCCCAACCATTGCTTCAAACGTTCCGCGGGGGGCGTTTACCGCTCCTACCCTGCGGCTGCGGTCGGAATTGCACGCCGCAATGGTTGCCCAGGATAGTACTATAGATAGCGGGGATGAAATCTTGCCCGTTCCACCCATTGTGTCTACCAACCGGATCAATGCTCCGGACACGGCCGAAAGCATTCTGGAAGGCGGTGTCTCGGACATGGTCAGCATGGCCCGGCCCCTCCTGGCCGACCCCGATTTTTTGAAAAAGGCCATGGCCGAAGAGCCGCAAACAATCAATACCTGCATCGCCTGCAACCAGGCGTGCCTCGACCATGCCTTTGTGGGAAAGACGGCATCGTGCCTGGTGAATCCGGCCGCCTGCCACGAGGAAGAATTCGGAGAAGCTCGGGGCAAGGAACAAAAAGAAMCCCTGCCACTAGATCAACGCCTGAATCTGGGGGTGGTGGGAGCGGGACCAGCCGGCATTGCCTTTGCGTGCACCGCGGCCGAGTACGGTCACACCGTCACGCTGTTCGAGCGCTCGGACAGGGTTGGGGGGCAGTTCCACATGGCCAAGAGAGTTCCGGGAAAGGAAGAATTCTACGAGGCCATCCGTTACTGGGAAAGGCGGCTGGAGGGCCTATCGTCTCCGACGTCTTCCCAAGGAAGCGTGACCGTCCGACTGAACACCGAGGTTTCGGTCGAAGAAATGGCCGATTGGACGAAACAAGGCGATCGTGAATCGAAGGCTGCCGGCGCCACCGATGCAATCGACAAGTGGATCGTATCGACTGGTGTGACACCGAGGGACCCAAAGATCCCGGGATCGGAAGACTTCCCGGACAACGTGTTGAGCTACGTCGATGTCCTCCGGCACAACAAACCCGTTGGTAAAAAGGTCGCCGTGATTGGTGCCGGTGGAATCGGCTTCGACGTGTCGGAATTCTTGTTGTACGGCAAGGCCCAATCGGAAGCCGAGATCCAGCAAGACCTGGACGTCCTGGAGGGRAAGAACCACAACCCAGGAGAAGATTCACGGTCTCCGGCTTCCAGGGTTTCCATCGATGACTTCTGGACGGAATGGGGCGTCGATCCGAAGCAGGAACGACGCGGGGGTCTTTCCAAGGAGGGACCAACCCTTCCCCACGGGCCGCCGCAGCGGTCCATCGTTCTGATGCAGCGGAAAAAGGGCAAGGTCGGAGCCGGCCTCGGACGGACGACGGGGTGGATCCACCGRGCCAGCCTGCACAATTCCAAGGCGGCGACGATGGTTTCCGGTGTTGCCTCCTACGATGCCATCGACTCGGACGGAAACCTCGTCTACACCAAAGACGGTGAGCAGCGCGTTCTGGAGGTCGACACGATCGTCCTGTGTGCCGGCCAGCTGGAAGACACCGCCCTCGAATCGGCCTCGGAAGACGTCGGGGGCCTCAAGGGCAGGGTCTACCCCATCGGCGGGGCCTTTGCGGCGGGGGAGCTCGATGCCAAGCGCGCCATCGACATGGGCACGAGACTCGCTCACAAGATCCACCTGGAGGAGGTTGTCCCGGGGAACCACGTGTTTTCGTCGCCACCGGGACCGGAGGAAAAGCTCTTTCGGTTCCTGAAACAGTGGGCGTGATGTGTGGTCGCCTTCCTTTGGGCCTGGTTCGGTTGCGTCGAAACCGTTGCGATCCCGTTCGGTTCCCGTTTGTTTGGGAAAAGGACAGGGTTCGCGCTTTCTATACCGGTGCGATGCGGATGCCGTTGGTGCATCATCTTTTGCACTAGAGAATTCCAATCGCACGAGGGAACGGAATCGGTTCGGTCCACATGCGTGGTTGTGCCGTGTGCCATACTAGTAGAATCATTATAAACAAMACGAAAAGAAAGGACCGAATGGAGCATTCCTTCCCTAAAACGTTGCAGTGCGGTATGGAGCATTCTGTGTTTGCCATAGCAATCCCGACACACGGGAGAGGATTCGATGCTTTTGTGGCCATGTCGCAATGTCGCAATGGATTCGATTCGATTCGATTCGATGTTCGGCGGGCAGCGGCTTGCTTGCATGCTTTCCCCGCGTTTGCAGTAGTGGTCCACCACAATGGTGGCTCGGATTGATTGATTCGATTCGATTCCATTCGATTCGATTCGATTCGATTCGATTCGATTCTTTGTCCTGCTATTGTACCGCAGTTGTTGTTGCCTTCATGGTCGCGAGCAGGTGTCTCGTGGAAGAATGCAATGGATTGTGTTGGTCCGCTGCCAAAAACAGGCCGTGTACTCTTTCGCTGTCCATTAGGACAGTTCAAACAAACAAACAGCAGCATGACACACAAAACATGTTTTTTTGGTTCGAACTACTAATCTTTCGCTACCAGACAGTGGGTCATCGTGTACAAGTACTTCTTTCTAATCCAATCCATCTAATTCATTGCTGTATTTAAGTTTTGGTTTTCGATGTAGTATTTTCTATTTTCGTTACTGTATCGGTGGAAACCTTTTTGATGGCGTTCGATTCGATTCGATTCGATTCGATTCGATTCCATTCTATTGAATCCGGTGTTGCAAGCACGGTAGCCTGCGTGCGATGCGATGGTGCTGCTCGGAGCCAAAGTGGAGAAAACCGCCGCAACAAAAATGGAATCGTTTGTTTCGGAGTGCCATAGAACAACGGCGGTGCGATGCACCCCGGCCGTAACCGGAACGGATGCCCGTGGAGCCTGCTACCGGTGGTCTACCTCGTCGCAGCGGTATCGCATCGTGCCACGATCCTGCCGCAACCGGGCCCGAGGTGCTGTTCCGCCACCAAAAAAGGCCCTATTCCCGTTGTTCTTGCCGCGGCATCCGTGGGATTCGGTGGCGRTGACGGTGTTGCATCGCATCGCGTCGCATCGCACAGCATCGAAAACAAAGRATCGAAGGAAGGAGTGCAATTGGTGTGTCGCTGGCATCGTGTCGTGTAGCGAATCTCAATCTCTGTTTCTGTTCCCCAACCCCAACCCCAACCCTGGGCAAGACTCTCGTGGGCAGGCACGATGCGCAAGCAAAGACCCACGAAGCCTTCCACAAACACAGCCAAAGCACCGCTGTTTTGCCTACACTACGGGAGCATTCGTTCCGATCCGCCGCATTAGACCGTGGCGGTCGTGACTCTCTTCGCCACCGTCCCCGCCGCCGCCCGGGAGCCGCTCCTGCCCCTGTACAGGCCGTAGAAGAGCCCCAGCAGAAGGATCGAGGCCATGGCCAACCCCTCCGAGATCTGAAAGGACTCGGACCGGGCCTCCAGGACGGCCCCGTCCACTATCGGTAGCTTCGATGGGGGTGGTGCTGAGTTGGGGGTCTCGGTCGGCGCCCCGCGGGACAGGCCCTCCAGGACGGCCGGGCAGTTCCGATCGGCGTGCCGCCGCGCGATCGAGGCCAGCGCCTCCCGGCACTGGCTCGCCGCGGGGCCCTTGCACACCAACTCCGCCAGCGGGGAAACGCCCGTGTCGTTTTGTTCGCTGTCGGTGTCTCCCAGCCCCAGGAGGATGTAGTCCTCCCCGTAGAAGTGCTTGGCCAGGCAGCAGGCCGAGGTGGCGGTGAGGCCCCTTTCCTGGTGGACGTGCATTGTCTTGATCCAGGGCGGGTAGTTCTTTTCGTTTTCATCGGCCGTGTGGGAGGTGTGATCGTTCTTGGGGTCGTGCAGTTTCTGGACCGACGCGAGCTTTTCCTGAAAGATGGCGTGGGCCTCCTCGGCGAGCCTCGTATCGTTTCGGAGGGCCGGGAGGGCCTCGGCCTGCGTGGTGGCATGCCAGGTGGCCTGCGTGGTGACTCTATCTGTATCTGTATCCGTATAAGTATCCTTCTCCTGGGTGGTGTTCCTCCTGCGGATCCGCTCTTCCTCGTCCTTCCAGAGGCTGTGGCGCAGGGCAAACTCGACCGCCCCGTCGATCTGTTGCTCAAAGTCAAAGCCCTTTTCCAGGACAATGCCCACGGGTATCTTGTCGGGCTTGTCCGGTTTGGCCCTGGACTTGTAGTAAAAGCCGAGCCAGTCGTTGATGGAGGCCCTGGCATGCGAGAAGTCCTGGATGTCTTCGATGGCGGCCTCCTTGACCCGGGGGTCCTCGCTGCAGAGGGCCATCGCCAGCTCGTTGGCRTTTCCGTGGTAGCGCGAGTGGATGATGTCGGCCCGGTGGGTGCTCTTTTCGCCKACYTTCTTGCAAWAGCGATCCATGTTCTCGGGAATCATTGATATTTTGGTCCTGGGCTCGCCCAGGTGGTTGTTCGGCCCGTCGTGGCAGAGCAGTAGGCCGCTCCAGTAAAAGTTGGAGACGAAGCGGTCGATGGGATCCCGCAGGGCCATGAGGTAGACCATGGCCTTCTCCCTTTTGTGGCCTTTCGGTTTCTTCATCATCGAGTCAAACCCGTGCTTGTACATGGTCTTGAATCCCAGGTGCCGGATGCGTTCTCGGATGGCGCCTCCCCCCGCCTTTCCGATGTGGAGAAAGGCCGTTTCGCGGAGCCAGTAC